AGACCGCTATAAAATTCTGAAAGCCCCTCACGTTAAAGCAGATTAACGTTAGGCAGCCGACGTTAGCAAATTTAGCTAAGCAGCTAACGAGCTCACTAGATTAATGAGCTGGCTAGCCACATAGCAGAAAAGCTAACAAAGGCGCAGCAGGTAGGGTGCCATACGGCTGAATTTTCACATTCTGAAGACAACTCACCTTCAACCTGGGTACTATCTATTTTATTGTTTATTACTTTGTCAGCATCTGTGACAGAAGTCGCGTTAGGGATACTGGCAATGTTATTTTGAGAGTCTGACTCCGCAGTTAGCGAAGTACAGCCACTTGTGTCGTCCATCTTTTTTTCCCCTACCTGAACGTGCATGCGCAATAGTATTGTAGTCCTGGTACAGGAAAGCTAGTTTTAATAATTTACATCCTCCGTATTTTTTCGTCTTGTGTATTTTAAAGACTTGTTTTCATGAAAATCCTTTAACGAATAATCAGAAACGGCAATGGGAAAATCTCTCTGTTATGTTCAAATGATTTACTTCTTCCATCGAAATATCTAAAATCACGGCTCTGCACATGCACAGCAGGACCCGGATCCTTAGTATGTAAATGGAACTGATTCATATTTATGTATTTTCTACTTTTTCATCATCTAAGAAATCAGTGTTTTCTCTCTATGCCTTATATTCATATCATTAGCTGCACCAAAAACGAAGAAAAAAAACCAAGTTAATATCAAAATAGATATTTTATTCTGGGACATCATTTTCACATCGAAAAAAACAAGACAAATTTACTGACAAACATTACAAACAGCAAGGCCAGATGATCACAAAATCACGTCAAGGCAGAAATACAAAGAAAGTGGGTTACTATAGAAAAGCAGTCTCTGGAAATATGTCACTTTCGCTTCTGAAGCTCTCTGGCTAAGGCATCCAGCTGTTGAAAGAATTTAGTATGGCATTAGACTAATACACAGAAATCAATACAGGCTACACACAGATATGCACACTATGGCTGGATAAGCACAACTTCACTAATACGTGTATGTCAGTCAAGAATTTTCAGTCAATGTCAGTCAGATTTCAGAGTAGACAAAATCTCATGATCATATGATCATAAAAATATACTGATGGCAAGACAATGTGATTCAAGTACCATTAAACATGCTGCTGTTCATCTCTGATTTTCTCACTTACAAGAATGTTTCTCAGGATACTCCTCCTCTGGGGTCTCAGGTAACTGCATTCCCCTGCTTCACACAGCTTAATCTCCTCTGAAATCTAAGAAGCAAAACAGATTGAGGTTAAGGGATAAAGGGTATCTTCATTCTCAACAGAAACTGCTCAGTGATTGGTTAAATTATTCACACAAACACTTATCCCAACCTCTGATGTGCCAAAGGAGTCCAGCTCCCTTTTTCCTCCAGGATACCAACCATGGGACCAGTGCTGGGCAAAGGACAGCTGAGCCCCCACACAGAGAAGCAGCCCCAAGAGCAAAGCCAGTCGAGACACACACATGATATTCCCACCTAGAAGAATGGACATAGAGTTAGTTTGAAAAAGATTTGAAGAACACATTCTTTATTGAGAATTTCCTGCAATAAAAGCTAAAAAAGAAAAGTGTTGTTAGCTGCAATAAAGTTAATTTTAAGATCTGAGCTAAAATATTTCAGTGCAAACTTGCTATATTATTATGGGTGCTGGCTATCATTTCAGGCGAACATCCACATTTTTCACTGCATTTGGAAAACTTTTACATAACATCACTTTAAGCCAGGGGTGTCAAACGTAAGACCTGCAGGCCAGAATCGGCCCTGCAAAGACGCCAATCGCGGCCCACTGGATGGCTCTGGAAAATGTGAAGGAAGACATACATTTTTGAACTTTTTACTGCATTTTCACAAATTTTACAGCTTTTCCCACTCATAAAGAAAAATGAGTTTGACATCCCTGCTTTAGGCACTTCTATCATTTACTCAATTTTGAGTACAATATTCTAGTTGTCCTTTGTCATTCTCAAAGTAAATATTGAAAGTATCAGATCTTGACTTGAATAATAGTTTTAGATAAACTACTAAAACTGGGCAGAAATGTAATCATTTGTCCTTACCTTAGTCTTAGCTTCCACAGCTTTATCAGTCCAAGTTTCCCTCAGTGTACCTGCAGGGGTTCACTTCAAAATGTTCTTTTCCTTTGGTGGATTTAGTGCTAAAATCAGCTTGCGGTACACCCCAGGTGTTTTACTCAAGAGATTCTCTGCTCCCTCTTTCTTCCCCTCAATATATAGACCAATCCCCCAGCACACATCATTGTCTTTCTTATTCTTCCCCGCCCATCTTTGACCCCTTTGACGCCCTCTTCTTCTAAGGGGTCAAATGAATCATCCATGGGGACGAGACGTACATGCGGTCCGACCAATTCCAATTATCACCTGTAAACAGCACTGACACCCATCTATACCACCAATATCCTCTTCTACACTATGTCAATTTAAATAAGACATTCAAGTCATTATTAGTGACATCCATCATCATTCTGTCACAGTCAGTGCTCATTAAGGATAAACCTCATACACGGTCAGCTTGCTTTCATTACTGGCTCTCAACAGGCAGGGCCTTTTAAGTAAGAATGCTTAGACATACAATGACTGAAGCTTCAATTTCCTACTTTTTACACCGGTATTGACCACAATGAACCACCACACATTTTCTCTCTGACCCTGCTGACACCTCAGGGGGATCTGATAGGTAGAGGAACGAATACACTGGATTCCTGACCAGTCCACTGGTGACATTATTGTCAATTAATGAGGAGAAAAGGTATTCATGTTTCAGTTCACACCCAGGAAGTGACTACATATGTTGCTACAGATGTAACATAACTCATTAGACATAATCAGTCAGTGGTAGATGCTACAACAGGCCAAGCTGACCATTAATAAAATCAGTACATTTTGATGCAAAAATGTAACCTTAATGGCCAATTCGTTTTCCCATTGCCTTATTCATCAAATACTATAATTTACTCAGAGGGCTAAGTTTGGTCATTATTAATGTATTCTTTGTTTCCTACGAAGCAGAAATGAAAGCATTTTCACTAAAGGTATTTCCTTTACATATTTGTGTGTATTATTGTAGGGTTCTTGCAATATGAGGCAACTGATATGAGGTGGCTGATGTGATTTGGCGCTATATAAATAAAACTGAATCGAATCTCATGTTGCCGTGTAAGTGAAACTAGCCCAGTTTAAAAATGGATTTCTGCAGATTAGGCTCGACAGTGAAAAGTTTGTCGTTAAATATCCAGTTCTTTCAGTAGGTGTTGCAGACTTTGTGTTAACATTTTGACTTAAAGCTGCCTCTTAAATCACAGCATTTTTCAGCTCTTGATATAAAATTAGGAATTTCTTGTCAGTGTGAATAGAAATAAACACTGTACCCATCACACCGAGTAATATTAGGGTTAAGGGTCAACTCAGTACTAACACTACCAAAAATAGTCGCTTTCCATTCTTTATACCTTTCAATACTTCAACAACACCAGTGAATGAATGGTGCAAAGGGTTCGATATTGACTGGAAATCTTTCAAGAGCAGGAGTGCCTGATCCTTAAGGTAACCACAACCCATTGTCAATTAGCACCAGCATTAGTTATTGAGAGGTGAGCTGTACATGTGCCTCAGATCATCGTGACTTTAAAGAAGCAGAGAAAACGTGGACGCACAAATTGTACTTAGAGATGGGATGTATGCTGACAAGAGGTTAAAATCTCAAGCACTTTATTAGGTTTGAACAGTATCTTGCTTAGAAAGGCCATTTGGCATTATATAATTATATATAATTTTATCATATATAATTATATATACATATATTCAAATGTTGAATAACAAAAAGAAAAACACAAGAAACAAACTTAGGCAAAATAAAAAATAGGATTTGCTTAAGACAATCATACCAAATTAAAAAATGGCCGAAACACATCTGTAATACATTTCAAAATGGTCCCGATACAGTTCAATATACATCTTTAAAAAAAAAAAAATACAGGAGGGAATAGAAAATAAAATAAGCAAGGCAGCAGACAGGAATGAATTATAAATAACCTTACATTATGTACAAAAGGGGAGAGGGTGTTGACCACTGGGAGGAATGGTTCAAGGGGGAAAGTGAAGGATAGAAACGAAGCAACAAGTGAGCGGAGATGAATAGGAGACAAAGAGAAGGTGATGAGAAGAGAAAAGTTGGGCAACAGTTTTCTGGTCTCCCTTTCTAGAAATGGAGACCGTGGATTGAGTTTCATAAGGGCATTCAAAACTCTCCAGTGGGGGAAAACTCCTGGAATAAAGGGATAAAACAAGGGTAACTGCCTCCCCTGGGTGGTAAAGGATGCCAATCCTATTTCTGTATTTTAGTCCTACATTTGGGGTACCAACACTTGATTACTAGTCATGGATCCCACGTTCAGCTGATATGGAATGAAATTAACATTTGAAAAAAAAATAATAAAATAAAGGTGTCAATTTTAGTTTGATGTACACAAGCAAGAAATCCACAAATATACAACTACAGGGAATGTGAAAGAACAGACCCACACTTGGTTCTGGCTCCCTCAATTTGTCACACAAAAAGGATTTGTCATTGGTCAACAGGTGAAACATGAGGAAATGCATGCGAGTTAAGAAAACTCCAGGGATGATTCATTTGTTTTGAAAACCTACCCGTGAGGCACTTCATCAGTTCACTTCTAATAACAAAATTAACAAAATATTGGGTCACACAGTTTGGCACAGTGTCATGTTTTGTGGTCAAATTGCAGCGAGACATGATCACATGATTGAAACGTGCACAACAAACCCCCGTAATTTAAGAACAGACAGTAACGCTAAGCATCCCCTCTTCTGTAACCTGATGAAACACCCAGTGAGTGTCAATGGAAATAAATGAAAAACATAATGGAACCTAACCAATCGTGTTAGCACTTGTGATGCTTTGGAACAAAAAGACCTGAAATGAAGAACATGACCCACTCACAGCCAACAGTGATTTGAGTGACTGGTCAGCTTAGCTGTCCGCTACTTTTAAGTAATCAGCCTAGGGCTTTGAGACCTGAAAACCCTTCAACAGATCAAACACAGTATAGTCTCCATATTGTAAAAATCAAGGCCATATCTTTTTGACCTTAGCTCTCATTTGGTTCTGTACTTTTTAAGGGCTTTACATTTGGTGCAAAGAGTGCATGAGTGTTCAAACAATCAACATTGATGCGATCACCCCTTTTCAAAATTTATTATTTTTGAAAACGATATAGCCACTATCAGTTTGACACACTTGATTGTGCTCCT